ATATTTAATATAACGCGTGACAAAAAGTATAGACTAAGACATGAATTAAACAATAGAGCAAATACAATAAACAAAAAGCAACAACTTTCACATTTAAACATAAAAACATATTACAAGAATGTAAATATGGACTTCTAAGAATCTGGAGACTCCCCTCGTTTTGTGTTATCCAAACTTCTAGTGTACTCTCCATGAGTACATGCTCCTAGATGTTGACGCGTCTATTTTCTTTGTCTATTCTCCCCTTTATTTGATAAACATCAAAAGGGAATGAGAGAAAGGACATCATAGACCGATGATGGTGGAAGTGAAGGAAGATGAAGAGGGTCATGAAGGGATAGGACGACATGGGGTTGGAAGGAAAGGCATGAATAAGGTGAAGTAGAAGGCTCAAAAGGGAGTACTCCATCACACATAAGGGAAAGGAGATGGATAGAGCGGTTGAAAAAAGAAGAGGAAAATTTAAATGGAGCCAAAGAAGGAAGGATGAAAGAGAGGTAGTGGTGTTGAGGTAAGGAAGGGTTCAACTGTGAAGGATATAGGTTAGGTGGAAGAACCTTGTGCGTAAGGCAGGTAAGTTCTGATTACATAAGTAAGAAGGTATGTTGGATTATCATATTCATCTTGTTCCGGTGATCGGACGAGATGACGATGAAGGTCAGGAGATTTGGAAGAAGGCTTCATCAGTTTGGAATGTTGAGAGGTTGGTGTTAGGACAAGACAAGTTCGTCTAGTGGAAACCAGGAGTGGGTGACACTCAACTAGTCTAGAGTAACAGGAGTTATTTGCTAACTAGGGATACCATGAGTGGTGAAGAATACTGTTTAATCTGGAGTGGGTGAAACTCAATTAAGCAACGTATCAGGGGATACCATGAGTTGTGAAAATACTCAATTGTAATCTTGTTGAAGATTGTAGTGAAATCCTTTAAGGTTAAAGGAGACTGGACGTAGTTCAGTTAGAGTGAATCAATATAAAAATATTTGTACATTACTGTTTTATTCTTTCTTGACGCTTCTCTTATAAAAACCTGTAGTAGCTTTTTTGTTTTAAATATAAGAGCTTCCTATACTAAACGATTGTTCTTTAGAGAGGAAATTTCATCAAATACTGTAGTTAATATTCTAATCTTTGGGCTTAGTGTCTTACACTCTTGACTGATACACAATCGACTGGTCTGTTTGGTGATCAGTCGGTCTAAACTAGTTCATGACTAATCGGTCGGTATGATGACTGGCTAGACTCGTTGTAACATCCCAAAAATACAATGTAGAACCATATACGAGAATAATCACAGGTTAACAATACTACAGATCAGTTCAACACTTAGCTAGATACGATTACGGCCGAACGACCTTACATAACAGCAGGGAATTTAAAATCGTAAGCTAGCTACCACTAGACCGAACGGTGTACAAAATAACTTATACCGAACGGTCTTACAAAAGATAAAGCTAACAACAACGTCCCTAAGGTTCGGCCTTCACTTCCGCTGCGTCTTCCAATACTTCTTCCAGCAGCTCTTCTCCTTCTACTCACATCCACACGGATGATCATTGCAATAGGACAACAACAGGACGCACAACACAAACAAAAAGATAAACATGGTAAGCTTATGTAATTTAATTAATACAATAACAACATACAACGTTCATGATTCAATCAACAATAACCACATCCTAATTCATACACCATGGCATGCAAAGAACGACCACTTGACTCTGACTGTCCGGACTGTATGAATCCTGTGTAGCTACGACGTTCGTGCACCCGGGTGATGTAGTAACTGGGATACCCTCAACAGCTGCCACCTGAGGTTGATCCGTTCCGTCCAAGTTAACCTTATGGACTAGGACCTCCTGTCATTCCCACACATGACTTACTCCTCTCTACGTGAGAATGAGTAATCATGGAATATCAGGATAAACGCCCGCTAAGCTTTGTCCACATTCATACTTTACCAATCAATAACCACTTTCTGAAATATTCCTACCTGGAATACTCATTCATAATCAAACTATTTCATTCACATCACATTTCAAATTCTCTTATACTTCATCATTAATACATTCAACTGAAATAAGATCACACTCTCTCATCATAGCATAAGTCAGACTAGAAATAACACTTCTTAAAAATTAACATGACTCAGCATTCCCTATCCACTTCCATCAATAGACCCCTAAAGTTCAAACTAGACGCCACGAAGCCTAGGCCTAGTAATAAGACTCTAGGCCGAACACCTTTTAAAGACCAACATTGTTTGACACCCAATATTAATACTGATAAGAAATTATGAAATAATGAACACTATCGATTTTGGCTGAAGACTCTTATTCTAAAATGGTAATAATAGATTACTGGAAACGAGACCCAGCGCTTGGTTTAAGACCGAGCCCTGTAGAAACCAAACGCTATTGAACGAGCGCTGGTCCCAGACCAAGTACTTATCAGGAACGAGCGCTACTGAGATCGAACGCTTGGTCCAAGACCGAGCACTAACAAACTTACGTAAAACGAATGAATATATATATATATATATATATATATATATATATATATATATATATATATATAAATTGCGCCACACTTATTTTTAATGAAAAATAACGATAACGTCTACGACTTTAAGTAGTATAAAATATGTTAACTCAACTGTTTAGGAAACCTAAAGAAGGATTACACTTATGCTGAACACTCATTTACATATAGCTAATATTATAAAACGATCTTCATTTAACGAATTCCTTTCTAGAAGAAGAACTTAATATAGACGGACGCTCAAAGGAAAACTAAACGGTTAATACGAACTCTCAGTCACAGTTTACCTAATCCTATATATTATTACAGAAAGACTCTTAGACACCATCCCTAAAGCATGAGAAATCAGTTAAAACCAAGCACTACCAAGAAGAATCGAACGCTCACTAATGACGCTTGATCATATTATCACCTTTACTCAGAGTACTACAGTTTGAATATCAAGCCCTATCTTAACTCAGTTCACAACGTATATCAATCATCCATCCACACATCCAAACAAGCAGTACACGCATATTTCATACTCATCAAATAATCAAACAACGTATCATGCAAACATACCAACGTTCAAAACAAGAATTTAATCAAATTATATAAGTTTTCCTTACCTCTATACGTAACCGAACGATCAACGATGCAGAATAGAGCTTCCCACTACCAAAGACTTAACGTTCGACAGTTACGTTTTTAGGAATACTGAACCAAACAGAAACCAGAAAAACTCAGAATTATACGATTCACTCAGGCGACCAGAAATAGAAGTTTGCACGCGAGAATAAACGAACGTGCTAAAAAGAAGGGAACTTATCGGCTTAGAACCACAAACCGAACGGTTTAAACGAAAGCTCTTGACGCCGGGAGTGTTCAAACATTGCTTGAGAGGTGACCGGAAGAAGAAAAAGTGAGATTTTCTTAGAGAGAAGGTGGAGATTTTAGAGAGAAGGAGGAGAAAATGGTTTCAGCAGTTTGGAGAAGAAGGAAGGCATGTAGAGAAATGGCACGACATTTGAAATTTGGTATTAAATACTGCCGTCACCCAAAACCGAACGGTCACTCTCCTGCATCCACCTGTTTTCCACTAACTGAAACGCTCACTATCTCCTTGACACATGGATTTCACTACTTGGGATTTTGAGTGTGTTTTAATAGGATCTGACACTCGTGGTTAACCACCTAAACTAAAATTGATCTGTGGCTAATCAAACAATTATATGATACATTATGAATACATTTATAAAATATTTAGATATGTGAAAACATTCTGACAGTAATTATTTATAAAATTATTTGTCTTAGAATGTATTTCTTCAACTTATTATTCCTTTTTCTAACACTGAAAGTTCTTCCTTTTCTTTTAATTTTATTTAATATTTTATAGTAGTTATTACTTTTTTTATCAATCAAACATTATTACCAAAAATTATTTTATGTTAAAATGAATTTTGTATAGCTATGTTTAGTTGATAATCAAATTGTTTATGTTAATAACTCATTTTTCACGATAGATATATGATATCTTTCTAATTGAAATTAAATCAATTGTGATCCAAATTATGAAACAAATTAATTTTCTAATAGAAATTGAATCGATTATGACATAAACTGCTTTATTATAATTATCGAATGAATTATAATAAAAGTTACACTTAGATTCTTGTGAACATTAATTATTATAGTTTTTTATAGTAGTAATCAAATCAATTATTATACAAATAATACTTTTTAAACAATATCATAATTAATTTGTATCATACTTCAATTACTATCATTAAATTAATTATTATAGTTATCTCTTATAATAGTATTCACACACATATGATTTTGTTAATTTGCTTCGAATTTTTTTATCAATAAGAACAAACTAAGTTCAAATCAACGTGACACCAGCCTAATAAACTAGAATGAAGCTCTGGTGACAATTTTCACCTACCGTTTACTTTAATAATTTGTATTACAGTTAATTTGATTACCGTTAAAATTAATTTACATAAAAAATTAACCATCATTGAAAGTAAAAACTAACGCATCGAAGATCTTCACTATCGCCAAAATTTAATTTCTAAACTTCCCTAGGATAAACAAGTCAAAATCAAAATTTAATCTCTATACTTAGTCAAGAAATACAAGTCAAACTAAGTATCTGATAATAAACTTAAACCAAAATAGAAATCGAGGTAAGATTAAAGAATGAAAATTAAACCCTTGTAGAGCATTGACTTTAGAAGATGGTCTTTCTATTTTTTTTTATTATTATTTTCTCACAACTTATTCTTTTTAAAAATAAGTCTAACTCAATTAGACCATTTCCCATAACCATGTAAATTTTACTCAGGTTCATTCCCATTCCAAACATTTTCTGTACCTATTTGGTATTTTCCATGTCTTTAATAGTTATACGACACAATGTTTTTACTCTCAGAAACATCCATTTCACTGCAAAATGTCCAATGCAAATGACATACAAGCATAAAAACCAGAAGAACGATATAATATATGAGCAATAAAAGAATACATGTTTTCCAGATGCAAAAGTTGCACGAATAAGCTTTTAGGTACCAAAACCCCTATATTATCTAAAGCTGCTCTTAACAGAGACCCTACAAACTAGAATAAAACTTAGAAACCACATCTGGCACAATTATAATACTTGCCACCTTCTAAACGAAATAACGTGATGCAACTACATGCTGAAACTGGAACCACTTATAGCTAAACAACAAAAACTACATCGGCTAGTTTTGCGGTATGGTTTTTATCAAAACCCAATGACATAACAATGAAATAATGAGTGATCTATGTAGCCCGCTACAAAAATGCATAACCTGTAATGTCTATATCGTGAAACTGCTTAATGTTTTTAAGCAGTTTTCTTGTTTGGCACAAAGACATACTTGATCAGCGATTCCTTGATGGAAAGAAGCTCAGGGAACTCTTTCTTCAATTTGGTTCCATCCATCTCATTGTTGCTCCGTGGAGCTACGATCACCTTGGCTTGCTCTTCAAGGTTGAAGTTGACCCACTTGAAGCTTGGATCAATGTAATCCCTGTACATCTCAAGAATCTCGTTGTGGCTCACTGCCCCAGGATTTGTGAAGTTCCAGATGCCCCTCAAGTTTCGCTTCGCCATCTCAATCGAAATGGGCAGAAGTTCATCCAAAACGGTCATGCTGTTTGGAATGTTGACGACTTTGTTATAACGAGAAATCTTGGTGATGAAGTTACGTGGATTACTCAAGTCGGATGAAATTGGCATGCGAACCCTGAGGGTGCACACATTGTCATATTCCTTCAAGAGCTCTTCAACCTGAGAAATATTCACATCCAAATTATAACACATAATCGTAAGAATAACCGAAAGGGAATGAGGAGACAATAACATAAGTTAGCTTACCATAGCCTTGGTTTTGGAATAGAAAGAACCAATGAAATTGGGTTTGTCTTCCTCCTTAAAGCCAATGCCAGAACCCTCTGGATGAGCTTCATCGTACTCAAATATGCATCCAGTAGCATAATTTATCATCAAGATTCCATGCTCTTTGCTGACATCAGCCAACGTTAAAGTCCCAGCAACGTTGGTGCGGATGGTTTCTGTTTTATGGGATTCACACCAATCAACATTGGGTCTGCCAGTCACTCCTGCAGCATTAAAAATGTGAGTAGGCTTCAGATTCTGAATATCAGCCACAAGTGATTGACGATCCTCTAGGCGCCCTCTTCCATATTCATAGGAAATCCCTTGTTTTTCACACAATTTCCCCAGCAAACCCCCAATCCAACCTGTTCTTCCATAGATCAAGAACTTCAGAGGAGGCTTCTGAGAAGAGCTAACATTCTTGGATGTTGGAACCACCATTCGAGTATTAGTTGAGACATATGATGCAGGTTTCTCTTCATCAGATCCATCAAAGTGTCTCTCCAATCCACCAGGCATCATCAGCATCCTTGGATGAGGAAGCAATGCACCACTGACATCACCCCACCAATCAGGATTGTTGATATACCAATCCATGGTTTTCTTCAAGCCCTCTTCCCAAGTTGTCCTCTCAGACCAACCCAAGACCTTCAGCTTTTCATCATCAAGAAAGTATCTCTGGTCATTAAATGGTCTGTTCTCCACAAATTTTATACTAGTCTCTGAGTCCATCTTAAAAAGCCTGCATATATCTTTTGCAACATCAATAACTCTCCTCTCCTTCTTAGTACCAATATTGTAAACATGCCCAACCTCTCCCTTGTGAAGGATAAGTTCAAAAGCCTCTGCAACATCTTCACAATATAAATAACTCCTTACATTAGAACCATCCCCATGGATTGGAAGAGGCTTGCCTTGCATGGCCAGGAGAATGAACTTTGGAATTAACTTCTCAGGAAACTGATTTGGCCCATAAACATTGTTCCCACGTGTTGTGATAACAGGTAACCCATATGACCTGCCATATGCCATGACAAGCATTTCCGCCCCAGCTTTTGTTGCAGAGTAAGGATTTGTGGGAAGTAATTGAGAAGCCTCGTGGTTTCCAACAACAGCATCCTCATCTGTCTCTCCATAGACCTCATCAGTGCTCACATGGATGAACCTCTTTATCTGGCCAGTTACCTTGCAGGCTTCTAAAAGGACATGAGTGCCATATATGTTGTTCTTGGTGAACTCAAAGCTGTTGCCAAACGAGTTGTCAACATGGGTTTGAGCAGCAAAGTGCATTATTGTGTCAATGGACTCGGTAATCAGTAGGTAGTTGACAAGATCAGCACTTCCAATATCTCCCTTCACAAACTTGAAGTTGGGAGATGATTTTGAAGGAGTGAGGTTCTTCAGATTTGAACAGTAATCAAGCTTGTCAAGAACAACAATTTTGTACTGAGGATAACTCCTGATAAGCCGGTTGGCAACATGAGATGCAATGAACCCAGCAGCTCCAGTAATGAGGATATTTTTTGGTGTATGCGTAGCCATGTCAACCAACTTCTACAATAAAAATAAGGTAAAATCACAAAAAACGTATCAGAATCACAATCACCAAATAATAAACAAAAAAAGAACAAAATATCCATTTTGTATTAAATCACACATTAAGTAAAGGGTTGCCTAACTTATCCCAAGTACAAAATGGGTAAAAACCTACACACAGTACCATAGGTTCTCTTTCTTTCTAGTATTATCCCATCAGAATTGGGGTTTCCCTGTGTAAATATGTATGATAAAGAGTCCCATTAAAGGTGATTTCATTCTATTAAGGTGAAACTCCATATCGGATTTGCAATCAGAACCCCAATTTTGCATAAGGTTATGTTAGACAGCCACATTAAAGGTAAGCCACTTTAGCATAAGCTCTAACACGAGGAAATCAACAAACTACAACAGCTGTTATGGTCATTTTCAGCATTGCAGGAGGTGATAGTTTGAAACCTCCCTGCCCTGTGTGCAGGGTTAAATATACCATGAGGATAGCGTCCATTTGATGGTAAATGAAATGATCTAGCGGGTATAGCAGCAAAGCTCACACAAATCCAATGGAAAGAGTAAAACAAAACAGCCAAGGGATTATGTGAACATATATTCTTGATCCGGTTTCTATCAGATGAAAAGTACAAAAACAAAACAGACAAGGAAATTGTTATCGTTATTATATAATGATAATTCTGCTACCAACTTTCAGGAAAAAACGAACAATGAAATAGTTAATAAATGAATAAACAAATAAACAATGTAAAAAAAAAACAGAGATTAATAAACAAAATATGACTCAGATTCCGCTCAAACACTACGAACTGCAATGAAATCTTCACAAAACCAATTACCATTGCTCAGAAAAACAAATCCAGCACAGATCTGACTATTTCACAACATTAAAATACCCTCACGTGGATCAAGACTGAAGAGAATCACCAAACAAAAATACCCTCATAATTATCACAGATCCAACAAAAAGAGCATCACCCAGAACACAAAAAATCATGCATTAGCCCAAATATCAAATCTTTACGCAGCAAAATTCAGAAACACCAAATGGAACCAGCGGCACCCATATGATACAGAAATAGAGAGAGAAACAGGGGAAAACAGAGTAATGAGAAGAACAACTTACGAATTGTAGACCGTGAAGCGAAAAAGGAGAAAAGACGAAGGCAAGAAAAAAATTCTTCAGAAAGAGAAGGATGGAAAATGGTAGTTCCCAGATTTAGATTTGGACTCTACACACTTTGTATGTATATATATACACACACTCTGTATGAAAATATGATCAACAACGAGTTTGAGATAGTTAAGGGGAGCCAGAGGATCATATAGAATGACTAAAATGCCCTCTCTGATTGGTTTATTTACGCGGGCCCATCTCCCATTTTATTTTTAATTGCATGAACTAAATTCCATTTGATTTATGACATTTGTCTTTTGTTTTCTCATCATTTCTTTCTTTTAAAAGAAATTTCACCAATGTGAAGTATCACATTCTGGTTGCCCATACTCTCTCAATAATCTCTAAAATTAAGTATATTTCACAAAATTTTATAATTATTAAAAGAATCTCCCACAATTATCTCATTCCTTTTTAATTATCTAATTAATGGGAATATAAAATTTTAGATTATATGTATATAACACCTTGTACAAATTAAATAATGTATTATAATTTTAATTTTTAAATATATTCCAAATCTAATATTATATGTTAGTTTTACTAAAAAAAAATATTTTGTTTCCACTAAATAATTAAGAAGAAAACTATATCGATTGTTTACGACCGTTTTACATTTACCACCTATTATATCATCTAAGAAATTAAGATTTTCAATATATATATATATATATTTGAAAGATCAATTCCTCGTCTAATATTTTATTCTCTTTCAATTTAATTGTGAAAAATAATTCTTTTTAAATCACCGTAGTAGTAAATTGAACATATACTTCTGAAGATGTCATAAAGTTCATTTAATACTTTTTATAATATGTTTAAAATTATTATTATTCAATTATAACCTTAATAATTTTTAATTTGATGTAGATTGAAGAGGTGTGACCGGTAGACATGTAGAGAACATGTAAAAACGGAGACCACCGACAGACACGGTTTCTATCTTTCGGCACTTAGGTAACATTATTTACTAATTAGGATCATTATATAGATAATATATTTACAGTCAATAATTATATATGAGATATATTTCGTTTTAGAACTCTAAACTATCTATGAAGAAGAGGTTAAACAAGAACGTTGTGTTTAAATTACCTTTAACTTTAACTCTTAAAAAATAATTAATTATTACCAAAATTCAAAACCATTGAAATTATGTTTGATTTATTATAGTTACAATTATAATTGAGTGTTTATATATAAAAAATTTCTTTTATGTTTAATTATAATATTAGTTTCTCATAAATTTCAACGATTTATTATATTAAATTATATATAAGCACTATTAGACTTTAGATTTATCATAAATCTTTCTTTTAAAAAATGTACACATAATATAGTATGCTCCTTCCGTTTTCTCCTTATATACGTAAATGTGAAAACATGTTTTATCCTTAATTAATATATCATAATCAACTTATAATATCATATTAATGAATCTTTTATTTGTAAAAACATAATACATTGAAATTATTACTAATTGTCGAAATAACAAATTTTAAACGTGTGGAAATGTCCATTTCATTCATTACTTAAATCTCTCCCTTTACTTCTATTGTTTATTTTATATGTGTGAAATCTCAATTACTTTTAGTTGAGATTATTTTAATGATTTTAAAATAAGAAAACATAAAATAAGAAACATCAGTATTTATGAGAAACTTAATAATTTACACCTCAATACATTTGTGGTTTGTTATATACGTGTTAGTAACTAATTAACTATTAATTTCCTAATTGGAGATTCTAATCAAATTGTAGCTTTAATTTTAAATCTAATTACGCAATTCACATACATGGAAAAATTAGGCATACTAAAGATAACTTGGAGAATTCCTTCCGTCAGAACTGATTTTGATTTGCCTATATTATATAATGAGTCTTTTATTTTTCAAATTCTGGTTAATCTTTAGAAATGACTGTTTTCCCTTTGACTAACATTTGATATATGTATTGAAATAAAAGAAAATAAAATATATGGTTTTCAATATATATATATATATATTTAAACTCATATTTTTAGGTAATAATGTTATAATAATAATTAACTTCTACAACAATATTCTTATCATAGTATACTAATATTCAATATGTCATACTTTATACAATATTTTTATATCTAAGAAATATTATATATGCATAGTTTTTGTAACATGTTCGCTTGAATTTTATATATGCTAGGTATATAATTGTTTGCTTCAGAATAATAACACGTGATTATACATTAAAATTATTCATAACTTTTAATATAGCAACAACAACTATATAAAAGTACACAACACTAACACTTAAACTATTGACCATATTAATATGAAAGTGTTTGTACAAAGCTTATATTAATAAATATTACAATACAAAATCTATACATATACAAATATTTATATATTAAAATAAAATAAAAATAATATATTTTTATTATTTTCTAAATATTCTTCCCTAATTTGTGTCTATATTTACTTATATAGATAATATTGTCATAGCAGTTCACAATACAAATAATATATTTAAATGTAAACTTGAAATAATTTTTTTCTTGAAAAATATATATAAAGGAAGCATTATAATTAGATACTAAAACATATTCCATCAAAATACTAATATTTAAAAAGGATTAACAATGTTTTTGGATTCTAAGCTATATTGTTAGATTTTCATACTTAAAAAAAATGCATGAATTCAATTTTTAATGTCTAACGACATTAACTTTATTTTATGGGACAAAAAGTGTGTCACATCACTCTTTTGTTACATATTTTGTTTTTAATTACACGTGTGAATTGAAAAATAAAAGAGAAGTTTCACCGTTTAAGGAATTGAAATTTTCATTCTATTGTTTTTCATTGGAAATCCTATGTTAAAAAATATATGCTTTGGAATTCAACTTCAATTGGCGAAGAAAAGGAACCTTGAAGGATAGTTGAATAAAGAAGGGAAAATCGTGCATTGAAAAAAGTTGCAAGGCACAAAAGCAAGGGTTTTCGTTGACAAAGGTCGCAAAATTGCAGAAGGAGAAATCAGAGAAGGGAAACTATAAAAGGAGAAATTGCATAAGGGTAAATCACATGTGTCAAGTCAAGTTAGTTTGAATGGTTAACAATGTAGTTTAGGGTTATGATTGTTTTAATTTGTTTAATTGATTATTGATTTAAATTGTAGGGTTCAAAATGGATTTATGTGTCATTTTTCATCATATGGAAAAGTTGGTAAAGAAGAGGGGATTGCATTACCTAGGTGGGGAAATCATGTGGTTAGAGGAGTTGATCCTTATGTATGGTCATATTTTGAAGCATTGGTATAGTAAAAGACTTCAAATATATCATAGATGGTATGCTTTGGTAGAAGTCGAAAAAAGGAAGTTTGGATAAGAATTTAAAATTATTGAGTGTGGATAGTGTTTTTATATAGCTAGCTAACTATGCAGAAACTAATCAACAAGAAGTTGAAATATATGATGAGCATATTCCTAATAGAGTTGAGTAACTCACTTCGTTGTTGATCAAGGTGAAGAGATAAGAGAAGAAGAGGTAATAGAGGAATAAGTAAGGAAGGAATAAGTAAAGGGAGCACAATTAGAACTAGAATGTGTTAAGGAAGAAGAGTTAAAGGAAGAACAATTAGGAGAAAAATATCTTAGGGAAGAAGATGTAAATGATGAAGAGTTAGGAAAAGAGTTAAGGGAAGAAGTTAGTGAAGAAGAAGAAGTGAAGGGTGTAAATGATGATGAAGATGGTGTTGATGGTATTGAGGATAAGGAGGAAGCCAATGTTACTGATGGGACTAAAAGGGAAAGAAAACGACAAAGGTAAAATAATATCTTAGAAGTTTTTATATTTTTGTTATTTATACATCTTTGAACCTAATTATAGTACATCATTAACATGGTAATACACAGAGAAATAGAAAATTACAAGTGGAATTGGAGGTACCATGTCTACATATCCATCAGAGAGGAGGAACCTGAGAAGTTGTAGATCCAACTCGAGGAGTGTTATAACCATTGTAGTCAACAAAGAATCAACAAGCGCAGACAAAGGTAGTTTAAGGGTCTCAAGCTAGTTTTAACTAGGAATTTAAAAATACCCAAATTTGCTAGTATCTAGGGATAAAATATGCTACACATAGTAACTGAATACTTTAATAGGTACCATAAGTAATGGGTAACGAATAATTTAACACCCTCTTAAAAATAGATCGGGTGTGAATATCATACTACATGTACCTATAGGTATCCATTATCCATAAAAAAATTAAAATTAAAATTTAATTTATATTTTATTAGATTAAATTTAATTAAAATTAAAATCTAATTTATATTTTATTAGGTTAGATTTAATTAAAATTTAATTTATATTTAATTTACTTTACATTATATTTTATATTTTTTTGTAATTTTATTTAAATTTATTTTTAAAAATCTATAAAAAAAAATTTCAAATATCAATGTCCATAGGTATTTTTTAAACAGGTATCTAAGGAGTAATGTAGCACCCAAATTTTAGGATGTCACGGGTTTACAAAAACTTTTGAAAACTTAACTATGATACCATGGCGGATTACAAATTAAATAAAAACTTCTATTTATTATAACTGAATTTAGAAACTTCATAAATCAAATGTAACTATAAAACGTTCATAAAATCTCATTACAAAACTTTTAGCATAGAAATTAAAATCTTATAGTTCTCCCATGTATCTCGTCGCTCAACTTCGTTTGAGCTATATCTGTAACAACATTTACTCCCATACAAGTATGATCATTGTAGGTAGAAACCACAACCACAACATGCAAGGGTGAGCTAATAGAAACAAGTCATAATAACATACACAAGTATTAAACATCTACTTAGAATAATATTTTTTGAATAATACATATCTTCTTACACCTACACAAATCTTCACATGACATCACATACATCATAAATCATCAAATCATTAATAACTGCACTATCAGAATTCAAAGTCACCAGCATATAACCACACAATTATTTCATCAAAGTAACCAGTTCACACCCAGACTCCATCGATCATTCACAAACTCATACCCCAATTTTTTTGAGACCATTCACTATATATTGGATCCCC